CAGCAGCCGGGGCTAACCTGGCATGGAGCTGAGGTTGCCCCAGCCATCCATGGGATCAGCGCGGCAAGAGCCCTGTGTGTGTGGCACCCACTCCCCTGGGATCTCCTTAAGGAGGGATTGATGCTGCTCTGCCTCGGTTTATAGCTATGTGCTACAGGTCCTTCCTCTTGGGTGGCCTCGGAGGTGGTATGGAGAGAAATAACCCCCATGCCCTGGTGTTATCTGAAAGCAATCAGGAGGAAAGGCATGTCTTGTGTGCTGGGGGGGCTGAGCCTGGATGTGGGTGATCCCATCCCCAGGATGGGGTGTAGGGTTCACTCCCCCCCTTACTGTGGTGCACAGCCAGCACTGCACAGGCACTGGTGGGGGCATCTGGGCATTTGTCTTTCCTTTCTGACTGCCCCAGCCCCATGGGGACGAGGTGGGGATTTGTCCTGGGTGCTTCTGGACATGAGAAGGATGTGATGCTCTGACAGCCTGCGGATGGAGGGGAATCCCTGGCAAAGAAAAAGCCACAAACGCAGGTTTCACGGCTCAGTTTTTCTGCTCCGTGCTCACTTAGCAGCTCTAATATTCCATGGAGAGAGTGTAACAGGTCCATATGGCAGGTACCTGCAAGCTGTCTGAAAACACCCAGGCTGGATGTGGGACTGGAACTGAGAAGCTGAGTTTTGCTGCTAATACTATTCTCTGTCTCCTCGCCGCCTTTGTTTTGGAAGCAAATGTCCCTCCAACTGCATTGAATTGCCCAGCTACCTTGCATGGCCGGGATCTAATTACCTGTGGAGCTGGGAGCCCTGTCTCCAAGCGGCACCGAGGCTTTTGTGTTTAATGACTTGCTCTGCCACGTTCAGAGTGTGACAATGCCGGGGAGCCTGCCAGGACCGGCTGCTGGAGCACCTACTGCCATGGCTGGGAAAGCTAATAGAGGTTGGGATGTCTTGGGCCAGGCACCTGTGGCACAGTGCTGGGTTAAAAACAGAGTAAATGGGTCTAGCAATGGGCACGGCTCTCCACTGTGTTCTGGGAAGTGAGCTGGATCCTTCCCTATCATGACATCCTGGCAGAGGGTTCAAACTTAAACAGGGGAAGCTCAGGTTGGATAAAAGGAAGAAGTTCTTTACTGTGAGGGTGCTGAGGCACTGGAATGGGTTGCCCAGAAAACTGGTAAATGCTCCATCCCTGGCAGCGTTCAAGGCCGGGTTGGACAGAGCCTTGGGGGACATGGGCTAGAGCCTGCCCATGGCAGGGGATTGGAACTAAATGATCTTAAGGCCCTTCCAACCCAAAGCAGTCCATGATTCTATGACTCTATGAAAGCGTGGCCAAATCCAGCCTATGGCCCCAGCCAGCAGCAGGGCAGCCCCCTAGAAGCACAAGGAGTGATGGGGAGCGGGGCACAGCTGAGCTCTCACCTCCCTCCCCATGCCATGAGCTATCTCCATCCTCCTGTTAATGTTTACAAGGCAGGTCCAGCAGCGTCATGGTCTGACCAAAGACCATATCCCTGCCCGGCTCTCCCTTCTTCCTGCTGGCAGGGGCAGGGCCGCAGGACAGGCGCAGGAAGGAAAGACCTGGATCCCGCTGCCTCCTCCATCCACTCTCCTTCCATCCATCCATGCATCCATCTCCGGCCATGCTTCCCCGCTCGCAGGTACTGCGGGTGAGCTCCTGGTTCCTCGCCAGCTCGCCGCTGCCCCGGACATCTCCGCTTACAGGCGGCTCCTGCCAGGCGGAGCAGGGGGGGGAAGGTATTTTTAGGACTGTTGATCTGACACCAGCTGAGTTTCCTCTCCTGCGAGGTTGGGGTTCAGGGAGAGGGCAGCAGAGGAAGCCACAGGGCGAGCTCTTGCTTTGGTTTGTTTTCTGTGCTTAAATGGACTAAGGTCACTCCCTACTGCTCTGATCTGCAGCAGATACTTCCTTGCTTCTCACCAGGTCATGCTTATGGTTTTACCTCCAGGCAGTTGTTACCCAGCAGCTAAAATCTTTGTTTATGAATACACTGAGAAGCATCTCTATAGTTAGAGCTCTGCTTGCAGGTTCTTAGTTTTGGTTGGGGTTTTTTTAAACCACTACTGTTGCACTTGGGAAGAAGCAGCTTTCTGCAGATTAGCAGAAAGAGAGGCCAAACATGGCAGTTTGTGCATCTGTTGGCCTTGAGATATGGAGCTGCCCTATAAATAAGAGTGTATTATTAGGCTGGTCCTTGCTGCCTAGAGCCACAGGGTACACGGTGCCCTTATGCCCCGGCCACTCTCTGTGCTGGGAATGCTCTGTGCCTTGGGGCAATGCTTCAGGGAGGACAGACCTGCTGGGGAGATGCTGGAGCACTGCAGCATCCCCAAAGGGCAGCAGCTCCGCCTGCAGCACTGCACGCTTGCTCCCTGGTGCTCACTTTGATGCAGGAGGGACCACTGGCTCTGCCCTTCAGGTTGGCATTGCTGGCACATCAAGACCCCCACAATCCCGAAATGGCCAAGGCTAGCCAAACAACCTGGATGATAACAAACATCTGGCTCCTTGGGCAGCCTTGGACTTTGCCTCCATCAGGCCATGCGTGATGAACAGAGTTAAATTAGGGGGGATCACAGGTGTACTTGTGTTTTCCAGGCTCCCAAGGAGGAGAACATTAGTGTCCAGATGGTTAGTCGATAAGGGACTCCTTATCATGGGTGAGGGATGAGTTTAACCCTTAAGACTCTGGTTCCTGATGGAAAAGGGTCTTGAGCAACAAGTGTGAACTCACAGGGGCACAAATGTAGGCAGGTCTTTCTGTTATAATTGGGATAGCGACCCCTGAGAAAACAAGAAGCAAGGCTGGGAAGGAGAAACGTGTGTTTGGGGGCACCGTCTTTGCATACACGTCCTGCTCTTGGAAGACATTTGCATTTTCCTGCTGGGAGAAGCAGACCCAACCATCGTGAATAGGCTGGTTTGGGTGAGGGACACACTGGAAAAACCCTGAGGAGATAAACCTCACAGGAGGTTCGTCCACACTGTGAGGGCTGGGAAATATGCTGGGACCTTCCCCCTCACCAGATCACCTCAATCCTGCCTT